AGAACAGCTGAATGCATTTGTGTACAGATATATCCACTTTACAGAAGTAGGCTACAAGGCACTCTCTTTATATGTCGTATTTTTAAAATTTGTGGTTTTAACTTTTATAAGACAGGCTAAAGTGAAAAAAAAAAAAAAAAAAAGTATAATTTTAACAGACAAAATGCATTTAAAATGTATAGGAGTATTTAAGCTAAGGTCTCTCTGGATTCACATTGAAGACTGTGACAATAACGTTGATTATCCTTCATTTAAATTCCGTGACTCACCCAGAAGACGAAGTTAAAGATGAAGAGCGCGTACTTGACGCACAGCTCCCAGCTGCTCAGAGCCGTCATCCCTGCTCTTTGTAATTAAACCGTCTAGTGTCTGCTAAGGTCTCGCAGTTGGTCCGTTTATCAGGTGTTCTGTCGGCTCGGTTCGGCCCAGTTCGACAAGTTCCGTCAGTGGTCGGTTGGGCTGGCTGGAACTGGACTGACAGAGCGCGCGCTCAACAGATGCTGCTCTGTTTTGTTCGCGCGCCTGATGTGATGGGAGGAAACAGAGATGATCAACTGATGAACACCCACAACAGAAGAGACAGAATACAAAGATTATAAAAAGTCCCAACATTTTACAGGTGTTTGTATTTTATTCTAATTCATTTAAATACATTGTGTTGGATTTGTCTGTGTCCATTATTTAATTTATGATGAAATTATTATCCATGGACTTTTTGACAGTACTCTGGTACATGTATAAGATATAATTCAATTCAATTCAAAGAACTTTATTTGTCCCCGGGGGGGGGGCAATTCAAAGGCACACAGTTGCAGTAAATTAACAACAGTGCAGGTAGACAAAACATTTTAACCTAAATATAAAGTGTCAATTTAAATACAACTTAAAGCTTAAACTTAACTTAAAAATACAAAATATAAAGGAGTAGATATAAGTGGACAGTGATCGGACTGACAGATGTAAACAGAACTATGTGCAGTAAACAATAAATAAATATATATATACAGAGCTATGTGTAAGTAGGCTAAATACTAAATGATAAGTTAATAAGGTGCGTGGTGAATAGTGGAACAACAGAACTAATATATACAATATAACTGTAAAGATGAGATAAATAAAGTGACCGTAGTGCAATGATGGATAAGAAACATCAGGAATAAAGTAAGAACTGTATGAATACTGAAATAGAAAGGATAGAATAAAGTGATGTAGTGCATGAGACCAGATAAAGCAGAGGCAAGGTGCATGGCAACCGGAAGGAAGTAAAAACAGCAAAGTTCACAGCTCAGAGTCTGCATTGGGTGAGAGGTGTCGGTGGGGGGGGGGGGGGGGGGGTGGTTAGGAGTTGAGAACGTTCTGTTTGACAAGAAGAAGCTGGCCGATGCATTTTACTCAACAACAAGAGTCGTCATAATTATGTTCTCATTCCTAAAAGAAAATCAAGGATAATGTCTTTGTGCATAAGAAAAAGTTAAAACTGTGACAAATATGCAATGTTTCAAAGGATTGTCCAATTTGGCATCGTAACATTTATAGAGTACCTCATTACCAGCCTTCAAAATGCCACAAAGGTCAACACCAAACATAACCAGAGCTCTCTGTGTGTGTGTGTGTGTGTGTGTGTGTGTGTGTGTGTGTGTGTGTGTGTGTGTGTGTGTGTGTGTGTGTGTGTGTGTGTGTGTGTGTGTGTGTGTGTGCGCGCGCTGTCTCTCTCTGGTGAAAATGTGACTGTTTGTTTCTTCTTCTGCAGAACAAAGACGACAGTGTGACCGGTCGACCCACCACTTTTTGTTTGCAGCTGCCCACAGTGACACTCGAGGATGAGGATGAGGATGATGAAGGAGTACAGTGAGATCCAGCTGACCAGCACCACAGGGAGTGATATAACTGATTTACACTTTAATGTGATGATCCTCATGATGAGGCTGATGTTACTGCCAAAATCTATTTCTGTCAGGCCTCTAATTTTTGTATAATTCTTTCATCATTTATCATATTTCTCGTCTTGTTATTTCTTTTCAGGCAGTTTGTCCTGTGTGTAAACATATTTATGACCTCAAACAGGAAGCTTATTTAGCTGCATTTCAAACAGCTGACCTTCTGTGTGTGTGTGTGTGTGTGTGTCTGTGTGTGTGTGTGTGTGTGTGTGAGCTTCTTACCCCGATTAGGAGTCTGGTTTATGTGTTTATAGTCTCAGTCCTCTAACTGAGCTTGATAAAAGACTGAGTGTGCTGCTCTACAAAACAGCATTGCCTTCATCACTGTGTGTGTTAGTGTGTGTGTGTGTGTGTGTGTGTCAGTGTGTGTGTATGTGTGTGTTTTGGTCTCCAAAACAATTTGGCTTTCAGCTCCTCGCCCATTTACAAAGCTCCCCTTCAAAGCTGCAGCCACCGCCTCTATTTGTGTGTGTGTGTGTGTGTGTGTGTGTGTAATGTGTGTGTGTGTGTGTGTGTGTGTGTGTGTGTGTGTGTGTGTGTGTAATGTTTGTGTGTGATGTTTGTGTGTGTGTGTGTGTGTGTGTGTGTGTGTGTGTGTGTGTGTGTGTGTGTGTGTGTGTGTGTGTGTGTGTAATGTTTGTGTGTGTGTGTGTGTGTGTGTGTGTGTGTGTGTGTGTGTGTGTGTTTGTTGGGCAGGGTCATCAAGAGGGAGATGAGGCCGAGAAGGAGGCTGAAGAATCACATTTTTAACATTTTTCCAGGATTAAATCGACTTGTTGTAACAAAACAAGGCGTTGATTTAATGAATCTGTGATAATAAACCCCCCCGAAATCAAATTAATATAAAGAAGTAATAAATTAAAATACTTTCCTAAAATAAAGTTCATTAAAATACCTGTTTTCATGTATCTAGAAGATACCGCCATCTAGTGGTGAATGCTTCAAACTGCAACAACACTAATCAGACCAATCAGACTACAAATCAGTAAAACAAGACATATTTATTTTTTAAATGTGCTGAGTAATAAATTGACCAATTTCCGTTTGTTTGTCTCTCTGATTGATTGATTGATTGATTGATTGATTGATTGATTGATTGATTGATTGATTGATTGATTGATTGATTGGTTATAGCTTATAAAAGTTTAATTACATTCATGTTGCAAATAATCATTTCCATTCACTGTGAAGTCAGAGGAAAATTGGAAATGTAAACATTCTGAAATAAACCATCACAATTTTCTCTGAAATCAAAATTTGTACTGTAGCCTGTAAATAACAATAAACAAAATAAATAAATAAAAATAATTTAAAATAATAAAAAATTAATATCAAAAAAAAGAAAAAAAAGAAAATTATAAAATAATTTATAAACAAAAACAAACGTTAAAAACAAGCCTCAATATTTTCACTTCCTTATTTGATTAATTGAATTATAAACTACTAAAAAAAAAAAATAATAAAATAGAATGAAAGACAGATTCAAATGAAAGCGCAATGACCTCGTTTTATCATTAAATCTGTGATTAGAGCTTTGTCTAAATTATAAAATAACTGTTTATCTCCCAGCCAATCAGCAACGTCCCCTGTTTAGTGTGCTGACCAATCAGAGAAGAGAGTGCGGAGATGGCTGGAGACAGCGGTAGTTTACCTGCTCAGTGCTCAGCCAGAGGACCGGGCTGACACCATCACCTGCAGTGTAGTTTTGTGCAGGTTAAACTTCCAAAAAGTTTCTACTTCCTGCTCCGCCGGTTCCGTCATGGCTCGGACCGGCTCCGGTACCGGTTCCGGTACTTTACTCTGCCGCCGGAACATCAAGCTGGACTCCTTCCTGAAGCGGAACACGGAGCGGGCGGTGTACGAGCGGATCCGGACCTACGAACCCTGCGTGGTGATTTCAGAGACCATCAACAAGGTGTACATGCACGTGGTGCTGAGTGATGAGCGCGTGTACCTCACCGAGTACCCCCCGCGTGCGCTCACGATAGCCTTCAGCTTCAGGCGCGTGCGGGACATCGAGCTGGTGAGTTGAAGGTTGAAGAAGTTTCATATTAAATTAAATTTCACATTCAAACTGTTCAGGCTGTAAAAGCTGCTTGAACAATCGACTACAAAATGACCGATTAATCGACTGACTGCAGCTGAGATTCGAAAATCAGCTGATTATACTTTTATGAAAAATATGATCTCAAGCTTTCATCAACATATCTTCTGTTTCCAAAGCACCAGTTGTATCTGTCTCACTAGAATTAAAAAATTGAAAACCATAGCCCCCCCCCCATATGAGGAATCGATTAATTTGAAGTTGATCATGGTGACGGTTAATCGAATAATTAGTAGCAGCTATTCGACTTATTTTTAGGCTGTGCTCTCAAAACTTTTAAAAGCAAAACATCAAAAAACATGACCAGTCTTCAAGTTTCTCCACTTTATATCAGCAGAAAAACGTTTTTCCATTTCTACTTTGATGTGAACTGAATATTTGTAGGTGTTGGAGATCTTTTTTATATATTTTCTCTTCTGATATTTTGTATTCTCAGGGCTCAGCAGTAACAGCCAACTTGAGAAATTCGTCACCAATTCGTCACCTTTGTTTGACATCAAATGAAGCCGCTCAATACTAACATATTAAACTTTAACATAAATTAACAACAAACCAGTGACATGTTGGATTCACTTTGAGATACAGGTTCATCCTCTGCTTTATTCTAACTGTGTATATTTCTAGCTTTTTAGTCGATTTTCTCCAAGAAAGACGATTTGTTACGGCTTCTAAAAGAATCCCTCCTCCTATGTTTGATTTTGATTTTGTCAAAGATTAGATTTAATATTTGTAGAGGAGTGAAAATAGCAACAGCGGCCCTTCAGGAGGGTTACATCTTTTAGATTTGACCTGTTTGCCCGACAACATAAACTATAAAAACCTGCAGAAAATGTATTTAAATCAGACTTATCTCCTTAAAATCATCTACTTTAGGATGATAAATTCAACTGTTGTGTTTTTTAAATTGTTACAGCTCAGAGACTTGTTGTATTTTATCTATTAAATATCTACAGCTACATAAAATCTTAATATCTGAAAGCATGTACGGGTTTTCTGTTTCATATTGCTCTCTTTCAACGCCCAAACAACAACATTCAAGATTCAGTCTAAGCTACATAACAGGCAGCATCTGAAAGCTAGCAGCTGTGTGTGTGTGTGTGTGTGTGTGTGTGTGTGTGTGTGTGTGGCAGAATGAGCCTGTAACATTTATCTTGTTATGTCATGTCGGTAAAAGGTTAAAGGTTTAGCTTCTTCCACACTGACTTAATCCTGTTTAAATTAAAGCGTCAGATTATTGCCTGCGTTGGCTGCTCTGGCCTGTCCTCCCTGTGGCCTCAGCGGTTGTTAAGTTTTTATATTAAGACAACCAATTAGTGTTTGTTTTTTTTCCTCTGGTCTGGTTGGAAACGCTCCATGAAAAGAAGTGGACTAATCTGGGATTAAAAACACCTCCTCAAAACCTTCTGGTGGCAACCGAGTATGGAGGATTCACACCTCTGACTCCCGAACTCGAGGTTTAGTTTCACTCGATATCCTGTGATTATGATTTCTTAATTTTTTTATTTTTGTGACTTCAGGAGCTGGGTTTCAAACCCCCGACCATCCAGTGATGACTGACTCTACCGCTGGGCCACAGCCGCTCCCTGTGACCAGACTAAACATGTTGAGCACAGATGTTTGTTTTTCTTCCTGCAGGTGAATGACCTTCCAGATTTCCTCAGTGGGAAAGATAGAGAGCTCTGTCAGCACATTCGTATCACCTACCTCACAGAGAAGCCGGCCGCGAAGGGCCGCGATTGGCTGAGGAGGACAAGAGGGAGGGGCTTCCTCCTGCAGCTCCGCCCTCTCGCAGAAACAGCCACTCTCCGACAATAATACGCACTTCGGAAGGTAAAGACGAGAGCTCAACTGCCTCAGAAAAAGATAAAAGCAGGTTTATAATAAAAAAATAAAAAAGTAACCCCTTAAATTACTTGACAAGACAGCGTAGAAATAACAAAGAAAAATAAGTCACATCTAGTAAAGCCTAGATTTGCGGAAAGATGAGAACATTTGACTTTTATCTGAAGGGCTGAAGTCTTAGAAATAAGAAATAACAGCAGATCAAATTTAAACTCTTCACTGAGTCTATGTAACAACTCGTTAAAGCTCATGTTTTTGTTGTCTCTTGATACCTTTACCTGTAACTTTAACCATTGTGTCTCTGATCCCTCCCACAGGATATCCTGCACACAGGTGACTATTACACACACACACACACACACACACACACACACACACAAACACACACAAACACACACACACTTTAAGACACACACTGACAAGTCTTTGGTTTGTTAGGCGATCCTCATGTTTGTAAGCTGAGACTGGCTGTGGTGGCTCTTATTTTTTAACCATCTCAAGTGAATGCTCCTGCAGGCTTTAATAATGTGATTTAATTAGATTGAAGAGGGATACATGAAAGAAACTCTGTTGTCATTTTTTATTCTAGATTCTGTTCGATTTGTCCCCAAGTTCTGTTTTTTTTTTTTGCCCTTTACATTTTACAGAATTTGCGTTAAATTGTTGCTTTAAAAAAAATGAATTGCCACTTTTATTCCAATTTAAAGAAAATTACTCAACCTTGTTAGTCTTTTGTGTTGAGGCTTTTTTTTTTTTTTTTCATTTTTCCTTTACCTGCTTGTCCAGTGTGAGCCACAGAGCTTCAGTCTGGGAGTCCTGGAGACAGACAAACTCTTTGAGCTATAAAAACCTTTACAGCTGTTTTTTTGTCTGCAAGACCGACCGAGGGTTAAACTATACGAGTGTACATACCTGCGTTTATGTGTGTGTGTACTTTAAGACAACAGCCCTCACAACACGAGACACAAAGTTAAATATCGTCTTCCACCAGATAATGCAACAAGTGAAAGCAGCCTCTCTCTGCGGGGATCTGTACAGATTGTCTGCGGCGTCTCCGGTGGCTCATGACTTATTCAGAGTTGAGAGCGACATATCTGCCTCAGTTTACCTGCTGCTCTTTCTCAGGGTGTCGACTTAAAGAAATACAAACATCAACAACCAGAAAACTTTGTGTTTGAGGGCGAGAAAGATTTATTTGTTCCAGATAAGGATTTAAAATTAGAAAAGAGCTCCAACGAATGCATCATTTTCCCAAAGAAACTACAAAGAGTTTATTCCAAATTTAAAAAATAAACATCCAGATGAATTTATTTAAAAAAGCTTCACCATTAAATTTATGATTTTTATTGCACAAATAGGCGGTAAATATTTAGTGAAATTCTGTCCCTTGCATCCTGTTTTTGATTTTCCCACGGTCTCTTGGGATTGTTCTCGTCCTCTTGATTCCTCCGTGTTGCGTCTTCGAGAGCGTCCCCCGTGCGTCAGGCAGGAAGCACTCTGTTGACTGTGAAGAGACGAGAGGAAGCGTGAACAGATTTACTGTCGCTGAACGCTGAATTGTTGCCCGGCGACAACAAATGCCACACGGCTATAAAACGTGATGTGTGTGTGTGTGTGTGTGTGTGTGTGTGTGTGTGATGTAAACACCGTCTCACGCTGGAGTTTAGCTCGCCCCGGGGGAGGTCATTAAACACACGCACGCTGTCGCACAATGAGAAGTTTAGGATCCATCTTTGGAGACATGAAAGCAGTGTGCACCTTTTACTGTCTGCAACACGGGAAGTCTCTGCTCATTGGACAAAGACGGTCGAGTGATTGCAGAGTTGGATGTGTTCGGGTTGAACAGTGTGGTCATTTCAGTTCTGTAGAATCATACTGTGGGTTCAACCTTCTGTACTTTTAACAGAGAAATCTGGTCCATGCTATTTATATATCGCTCAATTTCACAAATATACCTCAAAGGGCTTTTTAATCTGTAATGTGTAAAACACCCTTATCCTGAAATCTTTGATTTAGGTGATGAGAGTCTCCAGTTATTGATAACTGTTTAGATTAAAGTTCGAGTTTACGGCTCCCAATGTTTTGCAAGCTGGCTTGGATGGGAAAAAAGAAGTAAAATGTGTCTTTCTCTTTTTGTCTTGCATTTGCATGTCAACATGTTTTACAATAGAGCATTCCATTAGAGGTTTTTATTCAGAATATTTTATTGCAAGAACAAAAAGGCAGGGTTTGAGAAGTGAGGATTGCCAGATCGAGAAGATGGTTGGGGGGGGGTTAAGGGAGGAGGGGATGGGGTAAAGGGGATCAAGGGGAACAGAAAAATTCCAGATTGATGACTGATAGGTTCAGGAGAGAGATGGACGTGTGTCAGGTGGAGTACATACGGGACACATATGTTTATGAGATGGGCCAGTGTTCCCTAACCGAGTTTTAAAGCTGACCTATTATCCTGATCCCCATTTTAAACACGTGTGTAGTGTAACAATGCTGGATGCATATACTAAATGTGGGCAAAGTTTTATCTTATGAGGTATGTTAGGGTAATCCCAGGATTAGTCTGCAGAGGGCGCTAAACGGTTTGTTCAGCAAATCTATCGGGAGTTCCCTGGTATGAAAACCAAGACTTTCATGAAACAGCTTTAAGCCTCTACGGTGGGGCAGCCCTGCAGCGTTCTGCCATCTGGAAGGCTTCCAGAGAGCTGGCCAATCAGGAGAAAGTGGGGAGGGAATAGAGACACCTTTTCAGGTAGAGGCTGACATAAGGGTTTTTACAGACACCAGTTTAAGATAAATAAGATTTCTTCTGAGCTGCAAATCATGAAAAGCTACTCTTCATGTTTTACAGTTTGTCACTAGGAATACCTACAATACTTTACTTTCCATTGTTAGGCTAAATGTGAGCTTCAAAATGACTATATTGATTTTGTCGTCATGGAAACGTATCTGTTCTGTTTGTATCAGGGTTCAAGGTGAAGGAGGGACAGAGGAGGTCCACATGTTACCGCCCACACGCTCCGCCTCCTGGCCTAACCCGGAGAGCCTTGGCCTCCTGAAGGTCCCACACCCGCCCGCTCGACCCCCCTCCAAACCCCCCTCCCTGTACTCCCTCTCCAGCTCCCCTTCTATATCTCCGTCGCCCTCGGATCAAAGACTGAACATCGGCGAGAGTGCACAGGTAACAGACGGTCGGGTGGATGAATGAATGGGCGGCCATCAGGGCTTTTATCTAAATAACCCGACACATCAGACACTAAAGGCTGTTCATCGTTTACATGAAAACGCAGATCAAATAAACCACTGTGGAGCATCAGAACAACACACCTTTTTAAATGAAGCTCAAGCTTTAAGAAAATCTACAAAGCTGAACAACAGCCTGAAAAGGATGAGAGCTTCTCTATTGAAATCTTTTTCCATTTTTTAAAAACAGCTTCTCTAATAAGGACGCACTTTTGTTTCTATGAAAATCCACATGATAGATATCAGTGTAGGCATCGTGCCGTGCATTTAATGGAATATACTACCTTAGTTTTTATTTAAAGTAGAAGACAACCCTCCATGATGATGTTTTAGGTACCGAGGAGGATGGGCTCAGTCCTGTCCCGCCTGTTGAGGAGAGACGGTGGGTCCAGCAGAGAGGAGAGGCAGGCTGAGCTTCATCTTTACGCCGTGTCCCGGACGTCCAGACTTTACCTTCACCTGCAGAGCTCATGGAACAGCTACATTATTGTGAGTCACACGTGTCGCTAACACTTGCATGATACAAAAAGCTTTTTGTTCCTTCTCACAACTTTACAAACTCCTTAAAATAAAAAGTTTATTTTTTAAAGGCTTTATATGCGATTTTTTCGATCCAGCAGATGTCGCCCTTAAGCACCAGCATGAAACCAAAACAACTTGCGCTGCATTGTTGTGTTAGCATGCTAATGCTAGCGATCTTTATTATGCTGGTATCTTCACACTGCATGTAAATTTACCTGAAATGAGCGTGATCTAGAAACACAGTTAAGCAGTGAGTACAGTATGTTATTCTTCTTTTCTCTAGTCCCTCAATTAAACAACTTTTATACACGAGGGGAGGAGTCAGCCGGCCGTCCCGGCGATGTAAACAAAGTGAAGATAGGACTCTGAAAACTCTGAAAACATCACAGACAGTGGGACTCGGGTGTTACACCCATTGTAGACAGTCATGACTCACAGAGTTATTTTCAGAGGATAGACTTGATTTATATTATATTTAAGTGTGAAAAATCACATAGAAAGACTTTAAAGGAAGAATACAGCACGTTTCATATAAGATGACAAGAACTTGTGTGTGTCTGTGTGTGTGTGTATATGTGTGTTTCTAGAGGTCCACTCTGTCGTTAGACCCGCTCTACAGACGGAGGTGCAGCGTTTTGTCTGACTCCACTCCTGATAAACGACTTCCTTCCATCAGGTAACAGAACTGTGTTACACCACAGGACGGGATTGTATCACAAGCTGAACTGTATTAATGACCTACTGTGTGTGTGTGTGTGTGTGTGTGTGTGTGTGTGTGCGCGTGCAGCTTGGAGCGCACAGCTCACCTGTTTGGTCAGCTGAGTGCTGAGCTCCTCCAGGAGGAGATCAGTGTGGAGAGTCTGTACCTGCTGCTGCAGGAGCTGAGGACGGCTGCTCACCGCAACGTCGCGCTGCGCAGACTCTTCTGGAGGGTGAGACGTTCAAACCATGCGTTGATATAACACTCCTCCCCTTTTATATGGTCGGGGGGAGAATCACTCCCATGATTCCCCGTCAGCCTCAACGTTAATAGCCACTTGGTGGAGGAATTTACACACTGGGCGTTAAAATTTAAATACATGGTATCCAAAAGTTTCTAAAAGTATAGAAGTAGTGAAACTTTTTAAACACCTTAATCCTTAGAGCTGCAATGATGAGTCAGTTAATCAAGCTCCTGAAAATGAATCTGAAATCCTTTCTTGAAATCAATGAATTTCTTTAAGAACAGTTTTTATTACAGCTTTTTTTTCTGGTCTCAGTTGGTGAAGTTGTCTTCTGTCGTGCGTGTGTGTTTCAGTCCAGTGAGGTGTGTGTCTTCCTGGTTCAGACTCTGGAGGAATCTCTGCACGGCTGCCAGAGTCTCAGTGGAGGCTACACAGCAGATCAGCTATTGTAAGCTTCAGTGTGTGTGTGTGTGTGTGTGTAACTGTGTCACATCCTACAACTTAATACAATCAGGGAAGTCGCCGTCAGACACTTTAAGCTGCTTTGTACCTTTAATTACCTTTTTTTATATTTGTATGTTAAAGAGGTCATATTCTGCCCTTCATGGGGTTCATATATTTAATCTATGTACTAAAGTATGTTCACAATAGATAAAGTTCTGCCGCTCCATGCACCGGCTCTCTCCTGACTCTCTCTCTAAGGCTCTGAAGTGTCCACGTTCAGAGCCCCCACGTGTGCCAAGTCTGATCTGATTGGTCGGCCTGTCGGCTCTGCCGTAATTGGTCAGTCGCTCAGCCACTTTGGCTCCGAGGGCCGGGGAGCATAAACATTAGCACCTTAGCACTACTGTGCTACCACAGGCTACGGCGTATCGTGGCGTGCTACAGAAGTTAACGGGCGTGCAACATGAGCTGCTGGGCCACAATGAGCCAATGGGCTTCGATCAGTGATCTCACACTGACAAATCTTTATCGAGGGGGGCTAGAACCGAGCGTTACATGCAGCTAATGCTACAGCTAACAGGAGGACGTAGGAGAAGCTGCGTTTCCGTGGACTTTGAATTTTTGCACATAGATGTGCCTAAACATGCACAAGACACCAGAAAAAGCATAATGTGGGACCTTTAAATGAATGTGAAAACATCTGCACAGATTCTTGGGGATAGAGAGTTTCATTAAAACTCGAGTGAATGAGATCCCTGTGGCTGTATTTGTTCCTGCAGAGAGTATTGAGCAATACTTTTTCAATAATGACTCAAAGACTTCAATCTTCTCCTCAGGCTGAGCACTCTGATCGTCCAGACTCTCGCCGTCATGTTCAGAGAGACAGAGGTCGAAGCGGCCAGACACATCCTGCTCTCAGCCAAAAAGTAAACCCCAAACTGTCTTGTGTTTCTGTAATCCAATTAAAATGTGTGTGAATCAAGTTTCTGCCACACACACACACACAACCTTGAAAGAGGTGTTTTTTCCCCTCCCTGCAGAGGTGCCCTGGCCTCCAGGATGCTGCTCGCCTTGATATGTGATCCTGAGCTGCAAACAGAGAACCAGGGCTCTCTGGCTGACTGTGAGGTAAGATGCTCTCTTTACTCTCGTAGATCTATTTTTTAATTTGTATTTAAAGTCTTTATGTGATTTTTCACACTTAAATATATAAATCAAGTATATCCTCTGAAAATAACTCTGAGTCATGACTGTCTACAATGGGTGTAACACCCGAGTCCCACTGTCTGTGATGTTTTCAGAGTTTTCAGAGTCATATCTTCACTTTGTTTACATCGCCCGGACGGCCGGCTGACTCCTCCCCTCGTGTATAAAAGTTGTTTAATTGAGGGACTAGAGAAAAGAAGAATAACATACTGTACTCACTGCTTAACTGTGTTTCTAGATCACGCTCATTTCAGGTAAATTTACATGCAGTGTGAAGATACCAGCATAATAAAGATCGCTAGCATTAGCATGCTAACACAACAATGCAGCGTGAGTTGTTTTGGTTTCATGCTGGTGCTCAAGGGCGACATCTGCTGGATCAAAAAATCGCATATAAAGCTTTTAATGTAACAGTCCCTCTCTGTGTGTCAGCTTCAGGCCTTACTCGCTGATTATCTGGATGCTGCATGCTCTCTGCTCTTTGAAATGCTGCTTTTGGGCCAAGAGGTGAGTATGATATTGTCATGGATCCAGAAAGTTTGCCTCAGGCCCCTAGTGGACAGAAAGGACTGTGGATTGAGTCTGAAATTTTGGATGCAGCCTGTGAGTTCACAACTCTTTGCAACTTTTCTGCATTTTAGGCAAGCAGATGCTCCCCTGCTGAGAACTGTGTGTCCATTGGTTGGATCCTCAGAGTCATACAGCCTCATCCTCACCTGGTAAAACTTCCTCATTTTCCTTTTTTTTTTTTTAAATTTAGGAACATCACTCGTTAGCATGGAGATAAAGTTGCCAAATTATTAAGCTTCATTTATTATCTGTTAATTACTTTGCATATATTAAAAAATGTAAAGTATCTGATTTGGATCCGGGGTCCAAAAACTTGTAGAATCTGGTCTACATTTAATTTCTTATAAATTCATCGTTAAACAAAGCCGTACTTAAGAACTGGTCTCCTCCGCTCCCTGCAGTTGGATTTCCTCAGCTACCAGGCTCAGCACGTGGTGCTGGTTCTGTCAGACCTGCAAGAGTCCTGTCTGAGTCCTGCTCAGTGCGTCCTGCTGTTCCAGCGCTGTCGCCTCCTGCTGGCCTGTCTGCAGTACAACAGCCAGCTGGCACAGCACCTCCGATCTCACTTCAGGGAAGAGTTCAGGTTTGTGTGGATTTATCATTTTGTGACTGGGTGCAAAGAGAAGTCTGCAGACCTGAAACCATTGCTAATGTAGGTGTTGGATCAGACTGAGTGGGTCATTGGGTCTGATTGTTTCTGACCTGCAGGTACTCTGTGAAGCTGTCATGTGCCGAGGAGAAGCTTCCCCTTCAATACCCGATCAGCCAGCCGACGCTGCGCCTGGTCGAGCAGATCCTGACTCTGCACAGAAAACTGCACACAAACACGCGTGCACTAACATCAGAAAAAGGATTGTGACAGTGTGTGTGCCTTCACTGAAGTGACTGACACTGTGCTTTGAGCTTAATGACTGCTGTATTTTAATTAGAAAAGCACAACTGTCCTCTGCAACAGACATTTTTCCTTTTATATGGCAGAGACAGAAAAAAGCAGGACGAAGTAAATAAAGCACAAATCTTCAGGTTTCATAGAAGTTCACTGGCCCCGGTTATGTAATATATTTGATTCTTTGAATGACAGAAGGGAACTCTGCGTGTCATTAAAACTAGCCAGTGTTTTTTCTTTATGATCTTGGGCCGTGACATTTTTTTTGTGGAGCTGCAAAGGACGAGAAAGCACATCAGGAGTCGACAACCATGCAAGCTGCTCTGTGGTGCTTTGAGCAAGTAGCTTTCATCAGCACACTAACATATCAACAAGGGCTAACATGCTGATGTAAAAGCAGGTAATTATGTTTACAATCGTAACAAATCTACTTTAGTGTGTTAAGATACTCACATTTTATATTTGGCGCTAAAAACAAACAAAAGCAGGGGCTGATGGGATGTCTTAATTGTGGAGTTTTGTCTTAAATGTGATCACTTAAGTTATCACAGTTTATCCTAAGGGGGACATGCATGTTTAAATAATTACATAATGGTGGTCCATCCAACTTCTGCAGGGAAATTCAACTAAACATGCAATCATCCACCTCATGACGGTGCTGAAGGAAGGTCAGAAGATCACAAATACATCAAGGACAATCCATCTAATAGTTTCTAGAACATTAAGTGTTGGAAACTCACCAATCAGCTTTGCCATTTGAAGTGCGATGTGTAATATGACAAACAAGAGGGAGATGTGTTTTTAACAAAAAAGTGAAAAAAATGTTTGTAAAGTCCTCTGAATTTTGCGAGAGAAAAAAGTCATCCATCCATTATCTGTACAGCTTATCTCATTTGGGGTCGTGGGTTGCTGGAGCCGATCCCAGCCGCCAATAAACGAGTTGTTTACTGAACTTAAAGGGAACTCAGAAAGTGCTCGCCTCTGCCTTGGACTTCAATTTTTAAAAAAGTCTGACTCAGATCCTCCAGAATGAAATCCAAACTTCCATTATTAATTCATTTGTGTCCCACAAGAAAACAAAATAAATCAGAAAATGAATCCTTGTTATCTTTTAGAAGATAAAAATGGAGCTGGTCTCTGTGTTGACGAGGCTTAACTTTTATATTAAGCTGCGTTGTGTTTTAGTGTCGGGCCTATTGTCAGGCTCAGTTGTTTTTTTGCACAAGGACTAAGTTAGTTTGAAGTCCGAATCTTCAGTCTGTTTTCATGATGAAATAATAATATGTAGTGAACATATTTCTGAATATTACTGCAGCTGGTCTTCTGGTTAATATTCTGATTACTGATTGTATTAAAGTACAAATAGCCGCCTAGGTAACAGCTGTTTGCCTGATATTCTCAGTCCTGAATGTTTGGTGAATCCTGTTTCTATTTAGTTCATACATTTTGATTTTCAGCAGTTTCATTCTAATCTAGTCTTAAACCCGTCACTTCTTCTGTGGTTTTTCTCCCTCATGCACTCTCGTTCTGTGAATAACCCCGTGTGCACGATTGTATGCTGAATGTGTTAAGTTTGAACTCAATGTTTTTTTTCTTCATCACTTCAAACATGAGAAAATCTAGGTTTTGGCTTCTTTAAATTATTTTTGTTCATGTGTTTTGACTCTCATATCAACCACCTCTGTGTCTGATGTTTATTTAAATGTGCCTCAGGTGATGTGGTCCTAAATAAAGCAAAGTCTCCAAACTGATCAGCTGTTCCTGGTCCATCGATTAAAAAAAACAACACTTAATCCATTATTGATGCCCATGAATCCAACATTTTTTAGAGTGATTGCACCACCTTGTACACAGACATGATCATCCGTCAGGAAAATATAAATGTTAGAAGAAGTACAATCAGAATTTACAATTGACATAATACAGTTGGAGTGAGTAAGTAGCTTATTGAGTTTCACCCACACTTTAATTCTATAAATACCATTTCCCACCATAACCCTATCTTCAGCTTATAAGAATTTAAATATATTTTAAAAAGTCAGACTATTCAAAACATTTTTGTCACAGTGACTGCATGGATTTACAGCTGGTTTGACACAATCACAAAAATAAGAAAAAAAACATTTGTTGGCACGCTAATGATGCTAACTAAAATTAGTAAATTACTGTCTAAATTAACTCAGATTACCCAAAATCTGATTGAATTAGCAAACTAACAAATTAAAAAAGAAGTTAAAAAATGAGTTGCTATCTATCAATAGATTAATAAACACCACTTTAAAGGCTTTATCTGTGATTTTTTTGATCCAGCAGATGTCGCCCTTGAGCACCAGCATGAAACCAAAACAACTCGCGCTGCATTGTTGTGTTAGCATGCTAATGCTAGCGATCTTTATTATGCTGGTATCTTCACACTGCATGTAAATTTACCTGAAATGAGCGTGATCTAGAAACACAGTTAAGCAGTGAGTACAGTATGTTATTCTTCTTTTCTCTAGTCCCTCAATTAAACAACTTTTATACTCGAGGGGAGGAGTCAGCCGGCCGTCCTGGCGATGTAAACAAAGTGAAGATAGGACTCTGAAAACTCTGAAAACATCACAGACAGTGGGACTCGGGTGTTACACCCATTGTAGACAGTCATGACTCACAGAGTTATTTTCAGAGGATAGACTTGATTTCTACATTTAAGTGTGAAAAATCACATAGAAAGACTTTAACACCACCTCCTTATTTGTTTCTTTGGCATTTCTCGTTCATGTTGAAGGGTTGAAACACAGAAAATAATAAAAATCAATTGAGGTCGCTGTTCCGTCCATGTTTCTCTCTTATAAGGACGATCAGTGCGTTGTGCATTTGTTTTAACTGGCAACATGTACAGTTTGATCTTAAGCTTATTACTCAAGTACCTTTGGCTCGTCTTTCTGTCCCAAATATATTATAAAACCAACGTTTTCTGTACAGGTACCTTTAGACAGAATGTGGAACTATGCCTTTAGCAGAAAGACAGGACAGTGGGCCGAGTCGGAAATCAGGGAGGGAGAGAGAGAGAGAGTGTGGAATGATATGTGGGAAAGAGGCCACAGATCGGATTTGAACCCAGGCTGCTCACTTGGAGGACAAGGCCTCTGGACATGGGGCTTGTGCAATTTCTGACAGTTTCTAATGACATCAGCAACTTACATTAATTTAACCTTTGCAAGTCGACTCACCTCGAGTGTTTGGAATGATAAGTTATGGATATAAAGTTATGAAACTAGAGGCACAATATGACCAAAACAAAACCCTAGATAATTATTCAAAAGGTTTTCACACTTTGCTGTGTTTCCTGATTCTGTTGTCATTCACATCCTGGCTTTGGGGATCGTGCTGGAGCAGAGATGATGCTGTAGAAAAGATAAGATCTTCCTCCAGGAGTCCTCCTGAGCGTCTGAATGGGGTTTGGATTGTCCTCCCCACAGAACTATCACTGAAACACACAAAAAATGTTTTATTTGAGGGTAAGTTATTCTGTACATTAACCAAAACCAAACTAATCCCAGCTGAACGGGGAGGGAACAGATTTTGGAAAACGACAGGTAATTAAATCTATAAAGATCTAGATATTCTCTGTGTTTTAGCAGTATGTAACTCTGACCCCTAGTGTTTAAAATGGGTACTGCAGTCCAAATTCTAAACATTGGAGAGAGCTGTCTGAGTAGAACTTACCTTTCTCTTTTGTTGCAGTGGGAATTATAAAGTTGGTAGCTCTGAAGTGAGGTGAGTAGGGCGGCTCGATCAGATGTCCAGTGTTGGGGTATGTCAGCGTGGACAACAGGTGCAGGTTCCCTCCAGAACGCATCATGTTGGCGATCTGAGGGTCAAAGAGGTCAAATGAACAACTACAGTGCGGCGCTAATACCAGAAAACAGAGGGCTGTTTTCAATTTGACCTGTAGGAATGGATACTACTTGCACTTGCAAGTTCAAAACTGTGAAAACTGTGAAAACTGCAGAGTTAGCGGATTTATGAGTGGATTCATTCTCAACCTGGATTCAAATATGAATTTATTTTATTTGATGTGTGAATACTTCTTCGGTTCTGAAGCATTATTGTAAATGGCTGCAACTATTGATACCCCTGTTATCAGTATGGAATCATTTCTTAATCATTTTCATAGATGATGATTTATTCACTTTGTCTAAAAGGTAAAAAAATATATTGAAAAGTGTCATTTCTCAAAAAAGGAAATATTCTCATTGAAATATTTCCAACTGTATGACTATTTTAATTTCCTTTAATGTAAAAAACTAAAGAATGAAAATTCTTCAAACCGTACTACCACAACACACTCTCAAAATTGATCACAGTGCATGTGCGTGTTGACTCACATCCTCAGCAGCCTCCACTGTGGGACTGTTCTGATCATCATCTCCGTTGACCAACAGCATGGGACATTTTATTTTCCGCATCTGAGAGAGAATTCAAAACGGACAGGAACAACTTCAGTGTTAGAATTAGTCAGTGAGGCTCAGGTGGAAAAAAAGAGCAAAAGGAGGATTGATTGATAAAATAAATACAATCTCAGCCTGTCACAACAGCTCGGCCAATCACAGTACAGCATGATGATAAAGACACAACAACAGCTCCCAAATCTGAACATTTTCTTTGAAATGCTTAAAAAAATACATTTAAAACTGACATGTCTCACAGGTGTTTTTAGAACCAGTTGTGCAGTTTGATTGGAGATTGTAGATAAAATGTAATCTCTCTGCTGTGTTTTCAGCGCAGCTGATACTTACATCTATTTTCTGTGAGGGGTCACTGGGAACCGGTAAAACCACATCTCGCCATATGCGGTAGTTGTTCTCATCAAATCGAGTTTTCCTGAGAGCACAGGTATGTTTTCACATCACTCCAACTCTTAAAACATTGTGTACATGTTCTTATTTTGCTCATAGATCAGGATTCTTACTTTGGATCGTTCGGTAGGGATCCATCAATCATCAGTCTATTTGAAGCCAAGTGATGGCCGCTGATGCACACACAACAGCGAGGCTGGAACACAAGAACATGAAACACCTCAGTCTCTGGAGCTCATTCATCAAAGAGAGGAAGATGACATGTTTACAGGTTAACCCTCTTGCATCACTATGGACATTTTTGTCCATTTGTTCAAAGTTGACCTCTTCATCTGGCCATCATTTTGTCTGTGTTAGTGCATATGGCACCATTTTTTGTAAGAAAAACTCTCTCTTGACAAATTTTGGAATGCACATTTTATGTTTTTTAATAGATCAATAGAACACTGTGAAACAAATTTACTACCCTCTTAAGTTACTAAGGACAAAAATGTCCACTTACAAAAAACTGCTATAAAAATAGAACAGATTAATATTTTATAACCCTTTACATGCCAGTTTGATTCTGGCATGTAAAGGGTTAAATTCCTGATAATTATTCAATATTTGATCGTTTTGAGCAGAGCTGGAGTTGTTTAAGAGATTTATGCAAAAGAAAAGTAGGAAAAAAATATGAATCTGTTTTTTTAGCAGTTTTTTGGCATGGACATTTTTGTCCTTAGCGACTTAAGAGGGTAGTAAATTAAACTGATACCTGAGGGTTAAGATAAACCAACTCCCACACACGTTGAATTTGTTACTTACCTTAATCTTTGTGCTTTCAGCTGCCAAATAAAAGGCCAAAATCGTGCCGAGGGAAAGACCCAAAATTCCAACTTTGTCGGGGATCACTTGAGGATGGTCCTTGATGATATTAAACGCCGTCTGTGCAGAAGAAGAAATCAAAATATTAAGAAAGACAAGGTCAGAAAAAGCATTTTTTTGTATTTGCAGGTACTATGATAAAAACATTAAACACTTTTTTAATAGAATCTGAGAAGAGCATGCTGTTGGAAATGATCTCACTGAGTTTACTTGTAAAGTACAGACCAGTCTTTTCTGAGAATCAGAAAGTTTTCAACCGTGAAGTAACTCACAGCCTGTGAACTCTGCACCGTGCGTAGGATAGCGCCCAACATGTGGAGACTCTGAATGAGATAAAACACTTACCTCAAAATACTGCATCTGTAGATCTGCTGACTGCAGCTCACCGGGGGAGAAGTACTCCAGCGCCAAAGAAGCATAACCATGAGACGCCAGCAAGGCCGAACGATACTCCAACAGCCCTCCTCCACCTCCCCACATATCCAAAAGCCCGGGGAAGGGTCCAGGACCTGAGGAAAGAAGAGTCTGATTATTAGTTCAATCTCTCTATCAGCATCAACTGGGCGGAGGAGATGATGATGCAGGTGTACCTGGAGGTATGAAGAAAGTCCCTCGCACTCCTTTTTCTTTGATTTCAATCCTCTGGACTCCAGGAGCCATGTACCATCTCTCTGTGGGCACGGAGGCCAGAGGAGACTGCTTCCTGAAGCCCTCGGTTATGTGTCCACTGTAGACGGAGATGTGGACCAGCATGGGGCTGGTGACTTCCCTCTTTCTCAACCTGACGGGCATAGATGGTTTGTCAGGGGGAAGCAGGCATTGTAACAAGTCTGCAGCTTCAAACAGACAGCACTTATCATTTTACCTGAGACCCGTGCGGCTGCCGGGCTCAGGCCGCATGCTCCACAACAAACCCATGGCTTCTTTTCCCGTGTAGGTGCCCCCAAGACTCATATCCTCTGCAACTACAAAAGCATTGAAATGTCAACAACATGAAAACAAAAGAAGAAGCATATCGTCCTCACTGCACATGGTAGATTTAAACCCCACCGGACACTGTTCCTCTGTGATCACTGACGTAGTGTCCATAAGCCTCCCAGTAGTCCTTGTCCTCCGAGTAGAGGAGGGCGTGAAGTGTGACTGGAGATGCTGGGGGCAGATTCTCCACCACCACCTTGAACGTCTCATCAACCAGAGCCCGAGTGGGGACAACAGAGAGAACGGGAGGAATGGTCTTGGACATGATCGCCTTGTGGTCTGTGAAGAAATGTAAACACATGTTTAATGGTTACACATGTGTGGAACAAAGAAGAGGAATGTCACAAGTTAAAGTGTACTCGTTGGGACTTGGGTTGGGAACCGGACCAAGACTGGAAATTGGTCTGGTAGCTGGAGAGAAGCCAGTTCACTACCTGAGCACTGTTGAGGTGTCCTTTCATGTGCAGCCCCTTACTCTGACATCTCTCTATTAGTGTCCATAGGTCCCCCTTGTTGAAGAAATGACTAAGACTTGACTCCATACAATAAGACTCAGTTGACTCAGATGGCTTACGTTGATGAAAGTTTATACATCAGATGAATACTCAGGAGGAGACATGATTTAACATCACACTTCTGCACTCCTGTCTTGCTCTATTATCAATTATCAGGGTCACATTGATCCACCTAGACTAAACTTTGACATCAGTTACACGGGAGCAGACAACAAGTGTACCAAACATCCTTACAGATATCAGGAAGAACTGCTGACACTCTGTAAGCTGTACTTGGTGTTCTAATAACAGCTGAACTCTGTCAGGTCTCACTGACATCAGAGAGCAGTGAACAAACCTAAAGACATCTTTACATTATAATCTAAAGAACTACAGACATTCCACCACACCCCTAAAGGATCTTCTTCTTTCTCTCATACTAAACTTAATGCAAAGAGATGTATCTCCAAAACATACACTTCAAACATCAGATTTCAAAGCTGTAGTAACTAACTTCTTATTGGATAATAAGTGCACACACAAAACAATGTTCATATTTTTAATTACGGATTAAATTAGTGTTAAAATTAATTATATCAGGAATATCTATTTGTTAAAGACAAAATAAAACAGTGTTAATTATTTACAAAGGACATAATGCACCGCTTTTAGTGCCAGTGGGTTTTTTTTAAACTTTAACCAAGTTAAGCTTCAATCACTTTACCTTTCTTTATGAGTGTCCCTGTCCCCGTTCAGAACCTTTCCAATGTAAAGGTTAACCAGATACCTGAAGATTCTCCTGACGCTGTTTACTGAAACTATTCAATCAAAGTTTACTTCCGGTCATGCATTCACCCTCGAGGAGGATTGCTCACTTAACACGACTGAAGAGCAGACTGTTTAAACCGGGTTAGCTGTCTCTACATTGCACTATACCGTTTTCCATAACCACGATATAGTTAGATAATAATTATTAAGTAACAAAGTCAGGCGGGCGAAACACACAGTGTGATGACGTAGCGTTCAGTGAGGTCGTGTTGTGTTCACGTACTGCATGTGAAATACAAACCTCCTCTTTCTTTCTTTCTTTCGCTTTGAGAGATAAGACTATAAAAACATGTTCAAAGTCGTGTTAAAAAATAGCATTTACATCACAAGACATCTGCTGCAATTTAGTAAAAAGTTTAGTTCAAGGGGTTTTGGGGTTACCTTCTGTTTGGGATCTACCTCAAGCGTAGATGGTGTGTTTGTGTTCCATAGGAAACGTCAGTGTCGAGGTGAATGGTGCGGAATGGATCCAGTTAATCCAGTTTACCTTGTAAATCGGGTTTGATGTGTCACCATCTCATATATATAGACCCCTTTCTCAATACGTATTGCATAATAGATTTTTTAATAATATAATAAAGGCAAATTATGAAGTTTTGAAACATTTGTATGGGAATGACTATTTTTGCAAATGTAAATGGAACCAAAAACTAAAAACAATAAATGAATACAATTCAAAATGGAAATAGAACTATATGTCCAATCATTCATTACATGGACTGAAAGATATAAAAGGTGATAAAACACAGTTAATTAGTGAAACTCTGAATAGCTTATGTAACTTCAGTTCTGTTTTTTAATACTGTGATATTATATAGTTTATATAGTTCTCATTCTTTATGTCCTGCTTGTTTTGTTGATTTTATTCATCGCATTCGCTTATGTTAATTTGTGTTGTAATTTTTTTAAATAATATTGATTCACATAACATTCCAGAGTGATCACAAGATGCCCGTTTGAAGGATTGTTCATTTATTTAAACTTTAATAATCTCGAGAAATCATTCAGGGACAATGGTGTCAGGTGCCTAACAAAAACTAAATAATGAATTAACAGGAAAATAAATGTTTAGGATAAGTGAATCAGGGTAATTTCACTGGGACATGTCGTCCTTGTGTAAAGGTGACACGCTCCTCTAGTCACCTTTGCCACGGTTACAAAGGTAAGAATTCCTCACCCAAGAAAAACGTGCACATGCTGCAGAGAAAAATAAATGTCTGCATCATGGCCTGAAATTGAAATCCACCACGGCCTAATTCACTATATACTTAGCTGGTACTATTTTCACTGACCTGGTAAAGAACAAACTAGCCTGTGAACAGTCTCCAAAGTCGTTTGCATAGTTAAGTCAGTCAACAAGCTTCTCAGACCATTTTCTTTGAGGTGACTTTTCATTTTACAAACTGAATTACACAGCAGATGATGTCAACTAAAAAACACTTAATCTATGAAAAAGTTACATGAACCCAACATTTATTTTAAAAATGATTACAACATTTCAACACGGACAGAAAAAAAATGTTGGCAGAAATCCAATCATTATGAATGATCTTAATTATACAGTCATCAAGACACTTGATTGGAGTGACATTCATGGGCATTTCTGAGGAGTTTTAATCGTTGGAAGCCAACAACATCAGAATAATAAGAGCTATAGTTCAACTCGGCCAAAACATTTCATGTCGTAATAAACAAAGACCTACAATATTGACAACTGGAATGAGAATTTTATGATGAAACTAGAGGCACAATTTGACTAACGTAAAAAACCTTATCATTCAAAAAACTAACAAGTGCTGTTTCATATTTCATACAAACTCCAACTTGGTTTAACATGCTATCAACACACTTTGCTGTGTTTTCCTGGTTCTGCAATCTTTACATCTTGGCTTTGGGAGTAGTGCTGGAGTAGAGATGATGATGTAGGTAAGCTAAGATCTTCCTCCAGGAGTCCTCCTGAGCGTCTGAATGGGGTTTGGTTTGTCCTCCCCACAGAATCATCACTGAAACACACAAAAAATGTTTTATTTGCGGGTTAATTATTCTGTACATTAACCAAAACCAAAATTGACCCAAGCTGGACGGGGAGGGAGCCTTACTCATAGAACATTTCACTTTTGAAATTATTAATTTGGCAAACGCTAAGTAATGAAATCTATAGTTAGATATTCTCTGTGTTTTATCGATTAAAGGCGGAGTATGTAACTCGGACACCTGGTGTTTAAAATGGGTACTGTAAATTCTAAACATTACAGAGAGCTGTCTTCCCCCGCCCCCTCCTATCTAGAGTTGGAGTGCAAATGGAGTGCAAATAGGTTGCCATGTCGCGGACACTGAAGCGTCAGTGTTTAGCCAGCTCTGCATCGGTCTGAAAACCTCTCTCCATTCTACAAAAGCATCTCCAATATTGATCCTAGTTTGAGCACGTTTCTGCTCGTGGAGCTTATTAGAAACATGCAGAGGCTTTTAAGGTCGGGTACAATCACTTCTATCTGAACCACTTCTCTTGACCGCTTCCATCGCTGCAACACCTGTTGGTTTGACCTGGTAACTGGTCTCATATCTGGAAATACAAGGGGCGTCCAGAACAGCTCTCTGTGTGGTGATTGGACAGTGTTGTGTGTTTTTCCTTGTCTGCTCTTGGTTTGGTGCTTGTGTTTTTTTTCTTTCAGAGGCTGGGCGTGGCTTATTGGCTGTTGGAGCTCTCTGCAATCACTCACCTGTTCATCTTCTGTAATCACCGGCTGCAGCATTTATACCCTGGGTCACCTCTCCCAAACTGCCAGATTATTTCCGCCTACACCGTGGTAGATCGGCATTTCAAGTATCAATAAGACTTTTTTGTGTTTTGGATTACCTGTCGCTAATTGTTCCCTTGTCTTCTTTTTCCCCTAGTACCTCCAACCTACAAGCTCCAGCGCCTCACCACCCAGCCTCTCATTCCAGTCTCACCAGCCTTCACCAGCCTCCCTTCAATAAATACCCCTTTACCCACCACCCTGTTTTCCGGTTTGGCTTTTGGGTCCACTTAAAAACCTTTTAAGATCATAATACTCTGAGTAGAACTCACCTTTCTCCTTTGTTCTGGGAGCTCTAACGGTAGTAGCTCTGAAGTGAGGTGAGTAGGGCGGCTCGATCAGATGTCCAGTGTCGGGGTACGTCAGTGTGGACAACAGGTGCAGGTTCCCTCCAGAACGCATCATGTTGCCGATCTGATGGTCAAAGAGTTCAAATGAACCACTACTGTGCGGCGCTAATACCTGAAACCCCTGTTATCAGTCTTTTCCAAAAAGAAAAGAAAACTGAACAGTTACAAAACACTCTTCAAATGTATCATACAGCGTGCATGCTGACTCACATCCTCAGCAGCCTCCACTGTGGGACTGTTCTGATCATCATCTCCGTTGACCAACAGCATGGGACATTTTATGTTACGCACCTGAGAAAGAATTCAAAACGGACAGGAACAACTTCAGTGTGTTAAGTCTGAATAACTCAGTGAGGCTCAGGTGGAAAAAAAGAGCAAAAGGAGGATTGATTGATAAATAAATACACTCTCAGCCTGTCACAACAGCTCAGCCAATCACAGTAAAGCGTGATGAAGACACAAAAAATAACAGAACAGCTCCCAAATCTAAACATTTTCTGTGAATATTAAAAGTGCTTAAAAATATATCAACCTGAAAACTGACATGTCTCACAGGTGTTTTTAGAACCAGTTGTTCAGTTTGATTGGAGATTGTAGATAAAATGTAATCTCTCTGCTGTGTTTTCAGTGCAGCTGATACTTACATCTATTTTCTGTGAGGGGTCACTGGGAACCGGTAAAACCACATCTCTCCGTATGAGGTAGTTGTTCTCATCAAATCGAAGTTTCCTGAGAGCACAGGTACGTTTTCACATCACTCCAACTCTTAAAACATTGTGTACATGTTCTTATTTTGCTCAAAGATCAGGATTCTTACTTTGGATCGTTCGGTAGGGATCCATCAATCATCAGTCTATTTGAAACCAAGTGATGGCCGCTGATGCACACACAACAGCGAGGCTGGAACACAAGAACATGAAACACCTCAGTCTCTGGAGCTCATTCATCAAAGAGAGGATGATCTCAAACCTGTCGGCTGTCTTCAATTCATGGCACATGGCTAAACGATGACATGTGTACAGGCTAAGATAAACCAACGCCCACACCCGTTGCATTTGTTACTAACCTTAATCTTTGTGCTTTCAGCTACCAAATTAAAGGCCAACATCGTGCCAAGGGAAAGACCCAAAATTCCAACTTTGTCGGGGATCACTTGAGGATGGTCCTTGATGATATTAAACGCCGTCTGTGCAGAAGAAGAAATCAAAATATTAAGAAAGACAAGGTTAGAAAAAAATAGTTTTGTATTTGCAGGTGATGTGGTTTCCCTCAGTCGATGATATGTAGATGATGAAGAAAATCTCTGTTGACACTAACTTGCTTACATAATGATTATTTTATTGACAAACAAGATAGGACAGGGGCCCCAATGTATATATTCCACTGTGGGGGCTCCCGTCTTAGATTTATGTATTTACGTGTAACTCAAGGAGCAACACAGGTCCCAGATATAATTACAAACAGGTGTTGTTTTGCACATTCTAAGGGGAGCATCACCTTTGTCCCAAATATGTCAGACACTACATTTGCAACCGAGAAGTAACTCACAGCTTGTCCTAACAGCACGCGACACGGGCGAGCGCCAGCGATGAAATCAGTCTGATTCTAGTGTTTCCTATTGGAGTGTCCTGACCATCTGCGCATCCCATACGGGGCTAACGTTAAGCAAACTACCCTGTACAAGCTGTGTTCTCGCTAACCTTACTGTAGCTCCTCCTACTTCAGAAATCTGCCATTCCTGAAAACGTCATTGAACATGTCACAAATTGTGAACTCTGTGCCAGGCGTAGGATAGCGCCCAACATGTGGAGACTCTGAATGAGATAAAACACTTACCTCAAAATACTGTATCTGTAGGTCTGCTGACTGCAGCTCACTGGGGGAGAAGTACTCCAGCGCCAAAGAAGCATAACCATGAGACGCCAGCAAGGCCGAACGATACTCCAACAGCCCTCCTCTACCTCCCCACATATCCAAAAGCCCGGGGAAGGGTCCAGGACCTGAGGAAAGAAGAGTCTGATTATTAGTTCAATCTCTCCATCAGCATCAACTGGGCGGAGGAGATGATGATGCAGGTGTACCTGGAGGTATGAAGAAAGTCCCTCGCACTCCTTTTTCTTTGATTTCAATCCTCTGGACTCCAGGAGCCATGTACCATCTCTCTGTGGGCACGGAGGCCAGAGGAGACTGCTTCCTGAAGCCCTCGGTTATGTGTCCACTGTAGACGGAGATGTGGACCAGCATGGGGCTGGTGACTTCCCTCTTTCTCAACCTGACGGGCATAGATGGTTTGTCAGGGGGAAGCAGGCATTGTAACAAGTCTGCAGCTTCAAACAGACAGCACTTATCATTTTACCTGAGACCCGTGCGGCTGCCGGGCTCAGGCCGCATGCTCCACAACAAACCCATGGCTTCTTTTCCCGTGTAGGTGCCCCCAAGACTCATATCCTCTGCAACTACAAAAGCATTGAAATGTGAACAACATGAAAACGAAAGAAGAAGCATATCGTCCTCACTGCACATGGTAGATTTAAACCCCACCGGACACTGTTCCTCTGTGATCACTGACGTAGTGTCCATAAGCCTCCCAGTAGTCCTTGTCCTCCGAGTAGAGGAGGGCGTGAAGTGTGACAGGAGATGCTGGGGGCAGATTCTCCACCACCACCTTGAACGTCTCATCAACCAGAGCCCGAGTGGGGACAACAGAGAGAACGGGAGGAATGGTCTGGGACATGATCGCCTTGTGGTCTGTGAAGAAATGTAAACACATGTTTAATGATTACACATGTGTGGAACAAAGAAGAGGAATGTCACAAGTTAAAGTGTACTCGTTGGGACTTGGGTTGGGAACCGGACCAAGACTGGAAATTGGTCTGGTAGCTGGAGAGAAGCCAGTTCACTACCTGAGCACTGTTGAGGTGTCCTTTCATGTGCAGCCCCTTACGCTGACATCTCTTCTATTAGTGTCCATATGTAGCCGGTCTGTCTTGACACTCAGTGTGCTACGAAAATGTCTCTGCGTTGTGTTGTGTATGGATAAGAGGAAGACCAAAAACTTCCTTGCCAACTGTAGCAGATTTAATATCACAACATTTGTGTAAAATAAAATACATTCAGTACAGCAACTTCATACGACTGGGCTTCAACATGCACACCTCTCCTCCACGGTGTCTCAGGCCGTCTGAGGCGAGTAGCGCAAATCTACGTTATAGGAATATCCATTTGTTAAAGACAAAATAACACAGTGTTTAGCATTTACAAAGGACATAATGCACCGCACACTGGCAGTGTTTTTAAAGATTGTAACCAAGATAAGCTGCAATCACTTTACCTTTCTTTATGAATGTTTCTTTCCCCGTTCAGAACCTTTCCAATGTAAGTTATAACCAGATACCTGAAGATTCTCCCGACGCTGTTTACTGAAACTATTCAAATCAAAGTTCAATTCCGGTCATGCATTCACCCTCGAAGAGGAAAACACTTGATCGCTTAGCCCGACTGAAGAGCAGACTGTTTAAACCGGGTTAGCTGTCTCCACTTTGCAGTTTACAGTTTTCCATAACCACGATATGTAGTAGCTGATATTAGCAGCCACATTTCATAACCTCTCTTTCCGCAGGACTCAGGACTGTGGATTAACATCTTGATTACTTTTTTACCAAGAAACAGAGGAAATGATTGATGATTTTAGTCTCCCTCTCAGACAGGCTCTGCTAGACAGGATAATATAAACATTTACAAAGCCTAGAGTAAACAACCAAGCTGGAACAGAACACTGTTATCTACGAATTGACCCCAGAGACATGAACTGTGACCAAAACCAGTGACCATCTGTTGAAGGACTGCTGAAGAACTGGATTAAACCACAGCGTTGAATTCTGCATTAAATGAACATTTATAGCTTTCTTCATCTAGATATTTGTAATTGTCACATTGAATGTATTGTAATCATCTTTTTAAACTCAAAATCTGATCTTTAGCTAACAAATAGGAGGTAATAAAGTTTTAATAGGAATTTGACGTGTAGTGCTATTGCCATCTAGTGTTAGAATTGCCATGAATACGTAACCTTCATTATTATACATTTAGTTGTGTTATAAAGCATACTCTTTGATATTATCTATAGAAGGTGTTATTTGAAGACACAAATTTATTATATGCATCAAAAGACTATTTAATATTTTTCCTGTTGGATCCACTTGGAGCTGATGACGACACAACCACAACGGCTGAAGTGCCATTCCACCTCCATCCTGGCTGCATACTCCGACCCAGGTGCTAAGGCATCTAATCTGGCCCATGGACCTCTCTGGGCCTGAAAAGAACCACTTCCCGGAGATGGAAACGCGGGACCAGCCAGCGGAGTTCATCTGAGCCACCTCACAGTAAGAGCGTTGGTTCACAGCTGGTGTTGAGAGATTAGGTCGTGAGTCGTGTCTGTTCAAAGCTCCTTTATATCCAAACAGAATCCCAAAATTCGTTTATCAACTTTTTCTCCTTTGACAATTTACTGATTAAGTCATTCAAAACAAGACCACGTTTTAGCTCGTTATTATGTCACCTTACGTTATAATTGCATTATCCTGATCCTAAGAATCATATTCTTTATCTGTTTCATCTATGTACTTCATTGTTTATCATTTCTATATTAAATTTTACACATAAAATTCAGAAGGGTTACCTTTATTTGATCTACCTCAAGCGTAAATGGTGTGTTTGGGTCCCATTGGAAACATCAACGTCAAGGTGAATGGTGCGGAATGAATCCAGTTAATCCAGTTTACCTTGTAAATCGGGTTTGATGTGTCACCATCTCATATATATAGACCCCTTTCTCAGTACGAATTGTAAAATAGATATTTTAATAATATAATAAAGGCAAATTATGAAGTTTTGAAACATTTGTATGGGAATGACTATTTTTGCAAATGTAAATGGAACCAAAAACTAAAAACAATAATGAATACAATTCAAAATGGAAATAGAACTATATGTCCAATCATTCATTACATGGACTGAAAGATAGAAAAGGTGATAAAACACAGTTAATTAGTGAAACTCTGAATAGCTTATGTAACTTCAATTCTGTTTTTTAATACTGTGATATTATATAGTTTATATAGTTCTCATTCTTTATGTCCTGCTTGTTTTGTTTGATTTTTTTCATCGTATTCTGTTATGTTAATTTGTGTTGTAATTTTTTTAAATAATATTTATTCCCATAACATTTCAGAGTGATCACAATATGCCCGTTTGAAGGATTGTTCATTTATTCAACCTTTAATAATCTGAAAGAAATCATTCAGGGACAATGGTGTCAGGTGCCTAACAAAAACTAAATAATGAATTAACAGGAAAATAAATGTTTAGGATAAGTGAATCAGGGTAATTTCACTGGGACATGTCGTCCTTGTGTAAAGGTGACACGCTCCTCTAGTCACCTTTGCCACAGTTACAAAGGTAAGAATTCCTCAGCTAAGAAAAACGTGCACATGCTGCAAAGAAAAATAAATGTCTGCATCATGGCCTGAAATTGAAATCCACCACGGCCTAATTCACCATATACTTAGCTGGTACTATTTTCACTGACCTGGTAAAGAACAAACTAGCCTGTGAACAGTCTCCAAAGTCGTTTGCATATTAAGTCGGTCAACAAGCTTCTCAGACCATTTTCTTTGAGGTGACTTTTCATTTTACAAACTGAATTACACAGCAGATGATTTCAACTAAAAAACACTTAATCTATGAAAAAGTTACATGAACACAACATTTATTTTAAAAATGATTACAACATTTTAACACAGACAGAAAAAAAACATATTGGCAGAAATCCAATCATTATGAATGAGTTTAATTATACAGTCATCAAGACACTTGATTGGAGTGACATTCATGGACAACTGGAATGACAACTTTATGATGAAACTAGAGGCACAATTTGACTAACGTAAAAAACCTTATCATTCAAAAAACTAACAAGTGTTGTTTCATATTTCATACAAAATGCAACTTGGTTTAACATGCTATCAACACACTTTGCTGTGTATTCCTGGTTCTGCAATCTTTATATCTTGGCTTTGGGAGTAGTGCTGGAGTAGAGATGATGATGTAGGTAAGCTAAGATCTTCCTCCAGGAGTCCTCCTGAGCGTCTGAATGAGGTTTAGGTTGTCCTCCCCACAGACTTATCACTGAAACACACAATTACATAGTCTAGAGATGATTATTCTACACAGTCCGTGTGTAATTACAAATAATTAATGTATGCAATAACTATAAGTCCTTCATACACACCAAAGTTTGTCCTGGAGTTCCACAGGGTTTTGTACTCGGACCTATTATTTTACCTTATATGCTTCCTCCAGGTCATATCATGAGGGAACTCTCCATGAATTGATTTTGTAATGCTACTATTGTCAGACACGGAAAATGAACTCACCTTTCTCTTTTGTGGTGGGAACTATAAAGTTAGTAGCTCTGAAGTGAGGTGAGTAGGGCGGCTCAATCAGATGTCCAGTGTTGGGGTATGTCAGCGTAGTCAGCAGGTGAAGGTTCCCTCCAGAGCGCACCATTTGGGCGATCTGAGGGTCAAAGAGGTCAAATCAAAAACAGCCCAAACAACGACAGTGATGGCTGAATTTGTAAATTTGCAAAAGCTGTGTGTGTGTGTGTTCGGTGTGTGTGTGCGGACTCACATCCTCAGCAGCCTCCACAGCGGGAACGTTCTGATCATCATCACCGTTGACCAGCAGCATGTGGCATTTTATCTTCCGTACCTGAGAGAGAAAATAACTAACTAACCTCTGTATTTATTGTTAAGGTGTGCTGAACAAAATGCATCAGCATATGTGCATTGCATCCCTAACAGCAAATGTGGATGACTCATGTGTTATAAGGGCAGCATGTACTTACATCAACTTTCTCTGAGAGGTCAGTGGGAATTGGTAAACGCACATCTCGCAATATCTGGTAGTTGTTCTCATCGTAACGCTCCGTCACTAGCCTTCTACAAAACAACATTTTGCACATCACTCAAACGGTTCAACAGTGCGTACCGTATTCATGCTGCAAAAAGATAAGAATTCCTACTTTTTTTCTAGTTTGGGGTTGAAATTTAGAGCCGTTCCAAGTGGATACAAGTGGTGACCGCTGAATACAAACACAACAGCGAGGCTGCAACACAAGACAATGATACACATCAAGCTCCTGATCCTCACCTTGTTCTGGATTAAATGCTCTTGAAGTCAACATTTCAGCAAAGAAAGGCATATCTACAACCTGCCAGCTGCAAGCCCTTCATTTATATGGTTTAAAAACATTTGTTACTTGCCGTGATTTTTGTGCTTACAGCCGCCAAGTATATGGCCACAACTGTCCCAAGGGAAAGACCAAAAATTCCAATGCTGTCCGGGATCACTTGAGGATGGTCCTTGATGATATTAAATGCTGTCTGCGAAGAAAAAGATAACAAGGAAAACTATTGCAGCTACTGCTCAATTAACAAGCATTTTAAATAAGAGTCTGGAAGAGCATGTCGTAAAAAAAAATCCCCAGTGTATTTTTTGAGTAACAAAACCCTAAAAATCAGGGACGTAAAGGAGGAATGTGTAGTCAACATAAAAAAAGAAATGTGTAATCCAACATGAAGGTTTGAACTAAAAATAAAAGAGTCTGATGCATTATTATCTTCACATCTGTAAACTCAAGAAGAGATAAAACAACACTGACCTCAAAATATTGTATCTTTAGATCTGATGACTGCAGCTCACCGGGGGAGAAGTACTGCAGCGCCAAAGAAGCATAACCATGAGACGCCAGCAAGGCCGAACGATACTCCAACAGCCCTCCTCCACCTCCCCACATATCCAAAAGCCCGGGGAAGGGTCCAGGACCTGAGGAAAGAAGAGTCTGATTATTAGTTCAATCTCTCTATCAGCATCAGCTCGGCGGAGGAGATGATGATGCAGGTGTACCTGGAGGTATGAAGAAAGTCCCTCGCACTCCTTTTTCTTTGATTTCAATCCTCTGGACTCCAGGAGCCATGTACCATCTCTCTGTGGGCACGGAGGCCAGAGGAGACTGCTTCCTGAAGCCCTCGGTTATGTGTCCACTGTAGACGGAGATGTGGACCAGCATGGGGCTGGTGACTTCCCTCTTTCTCAACCTGACGGGCATAGATGGTTTGTCAGGGGGAAGCAGGCATTGTAACAAGTCTGCAGCTTCAAACAGACAGCACTTATCATTTTACCTGAGACCCGTGCGGCTGCCGGGCTCAGGCCGCATGCTCCACAACAAACCCATGGCTTCTTTTCCCGTGTAGGTGCCCCCAAGACTCATATCCTCTGCAACTACAAAAGCATTGAAATGTCAACAACATGAAGACGAAAGAAGAAGCATATCGTCCTCACTGCACATGGTAGATTTAAACCCCACCGGACACTGTTCCTCTGTGATCACTGACGTAGTGTCCATAAGCCTCCCAGTAGTCCTTGTCCTCCGAGTAGAGGAGGGCGTGAAGTGTGACTGGAGATGCTGGGGGCAGATTCTCCACCACCATCTTGAACGTCTCATCAACCAGAGCCCGAGTGGGGACAACAGAGAGAACGGGAGAAATGGTCTGGGACATCGTCGCCTTGTGGTCTGTGAAGAAATGTAAACACATGTCCAAAACCAGAGCAAAGTCAAAAGCGAGAAAAATGTTAACAAAATGTGCAAAGTTTGCAACGACAGTAGGAAACCTCCCTAAGGGGGCCCCATCTTACAACACTCACTCTGGTTGCACTACCAAGCAGTGTGTGCATTTTGCTGTGAAATAAATTGTCACCGGACGACAATAAAGAATATTTATGATAGACGTTAACGCTGGTTGGAGGGGCCACCTGTGAACGTTTTTGTCTTCAGGGTCCCACCAGACACTAAAATTGCCACGACTACCATCATATATCGAAACGGAGTGAACAGTTTGGATATTATCTCGTATTATACGCAAAATACAGAGATTAAATCCTCTTATATCAGCTTCAGAGATGGTGTTTGAAATACCTTAAATGCAGCCTGTTGTGAAGCTGTGCAGCAGTAACATCACACACAGATCAGTCAGCTCTTTTTTTTTTTTACAATCAAAGACATTTTCACGCCGGACCAAATTTTGAACCTGTCATTGAAACGAGATCTAAAAACAGTTTTTTTTATCAAAGGACTCACAGTGCTTGATGCAAATTCCTCTCAAGTTCAGGAGGTCAAACGGGGATAAATCTTCAGAACACTGTAACCGTTTTGTTAACTTCACTTTCTGCACTTTCGCAGGTGAGGTCAGATAATGTTTGACAGAAGGCAGGCTGACTTTTGTCTCTACTTTATGGCATTGCACAATGGATAAAGCACTGAGTCAATAACATGCAGCATGTATGGCTACTGTTTGAAATGCATTTGTAGAGAATAGATACATACTTTAGGGGTGGATACGAAATAATATTCACGGTACAAACATGTAAAGCAGAGTCTACAGGCAGTGGTAGACTCTGCAGTGGTGTACTTCAGTGCAGTAAGAGCACAGACAGTCCAGATGAGTGTATGCTGCAGTGCTGCTGTAACATTCAGACCTCACCCCAGGACTGTGGTGACGGGAGCAGTTGTGAATGAATTTTAACTTCCAGGTTGGTCTCTGGACTAAAGGTCAAGGTGCATGCTGGGTAAAGTTCCTCAACAAGATTACTGTATTCTTATGGAAGACAGACAGGTTTTCAGTTTCATCTACTCACAGCGACGAGGCACATCACACCATATTAAATATTTGTGTTTTAAATATGCATTATTTATTATGCATACTCAAAAAGTAGAGGGAACAATCTGAAATATGTCTAATTATGAGGTGTGTTTCATCTTTTGTTGTGAGTATTTATCTGAGATTAATATGGGGACATAAAATAATACATAACATCATGGGGAGAAAAAAGGGATTACCTTATTTGACAGGCGGATTTGAGATGACTATAAAGGAGAATGGATCCTGGAGGTGGCAGTAATGCAACAATTTGAACGCAAGCTGCTGAAAAACACGAAAGAAGAAGAAACTTTGAGAGGCGGAACCTTTGCGTTTTTTCGGAGGATTATCGGATTGTCGGATCTGTATTGGAGACGGACCGGAAGCAGCGTGAGGTTACCGAAGTCTCTTCTGAAGTGTTACACCTGGTAAGTTTACATCATGCATGCATTTTTTTTATTGTTTCTTTAAATTATAGTCACACTTTTCTACACACACACACACACACACACACATACACACACACACTCTGCTGTATCCGCCGCTGCACACCGGAAACCAAAGACTGAACGGAAAACGTCACTTTGTGGTTAATTTCACGCGAACATCTGATGGCGGGAGAGCTCGTGAGCCTCATTGCTGCTGAGAGAAATCCTCTCTGTGACTTTGAGCCCATGTTATGTTATTATATCATGTTTCCCTGCAGCACATGAAAACCATCTTAATCTCACCAAACCAGTCTGAACTCTGCTGGTTTGTTTGTTTGTTGTTGTTGTTGTTGTTGTTGTTGTTGTTGTTGTTGTTGTTGTCTTTACCTGCAAAATAAATCAGGTCATTACATCTGCTAACACTTAGAGGTGGACAGAGGCTTTTAGGGATTATTGGATTAATGACAAATTGAATATGTGGCCTTTTGTGAATCAGTATACAACCAAAATAAGATAAAATAAAATAAAATAAGATAAAATAGAATAAAATAAAATAAGGTAAAATAGATAAAATAAAATAAGATAAAATAGAATAAAATAAAATAAGATAAAATAAGATAAAATAGAATAAAATAAAATAAGATAAAATAGAATAAAATAAAATAAGGTAAAATAAAATAAGATAAAATAGAATAAAATAAAATAAGGTAAAATAAGATAAAATAGAATAAAATAAAATAAGGTAAAATAGAATAAATAAAATAAGATAAAATAGAATAAAATAAAATAAGGTAAAATAAGATGAAATAGAATAAAATAAAATAAGATAAAATAAAATAGAATAAAAACAAATAAGATAAAATAGAATAAAATAAAATAAGGTAAAATAGATAAAATAAGATAAAATAAAATAAGTTAAATTAAAATAAGGTAAAATAAGTTGAAATAAAATAAGATAAAATAAAATAAGGTAAAATAAGATAAAATAGAATAAAATAAGGTAAAATAGATAAAATAAGATAAAATAGAATAAGGTAAAATAGATAAATAAGATAAAATAGAATAAGATAAGGTAAAATAGATAAAATAGAATAAGGTAAAATAAGGTAAAATAGATAAAATAAGATAAAATAAAATAAGGTAAAATAGATAAAATAAAATAAGGTAAAATAAGTTGAAATAAGATAAAATAGAATAAGGTAAAATAGATAAATAAGATAAAATAGAATAAGATAAAATAGAATAAGGTAAAATAGATAAAATAGAATAAGATAAAATAGATAAAATAAGATAAATAATATTTACAGTAATAAATTCTAAATTGTGCAAAAGGTACAAAATGGTAAATAAAATTTAAAGAAAAAGTAAACTTGTGCAATGTGCAGTAAACTGGGTGTACTTTTGAATAAATCCACAGTTTTTTTCTTTTTTGCCTTTTTGTGTTTTTCAGATCAGCTCCCTCAGCCTGCAGTCCAGTGTTTCCTCCAGAGTCGATTGTGCAGCACCGAGAAGATGTTTAGAAGTGCCTCAGCTCAGGTGAGCAAGAAATGTTTAACGATGAAGCATAGGTAGAAATAACAAGAACATAAAAGTGAATGCAGCTCGAGCCACGCTTTCTCTGCAGTAAATAATGGATCTCATCTTTGCTCAGATCTTCAGACAGGCGGTGAGATACAGGAGCACGGACACCAACCTCATCCTGGAGAGATGTGAGTGAACGTTCTGTGTGTGTGTGTGTGTGGTCGTCTGATGATTATTACCAGATTGCATTTTCCAATAATGGTCATTTCTGTGTCTTCATCCCAGCGATAAACCGCGTACAGCTGTTAGGACGAGTGGGTCAGGACCCGGTGATGAGACAGGTGGAGGGTCGAAACCCCGTCACTATCTTCTCAATAGCAACCAACGAGATGTGGCGCTCTGGAGAGGGAGAGATGAGCTCAACAGGTACGATGTCAGAGAAGACCTAATGGTAGACATTTTTAAAAAACACAGGTTATTGGGAAAGTGAGTGCGGTTTGGTTGATGCTGCATTCATGCACTCCTCGGGTGGTCCCAGTTTCTGACTTAAAGGGATACTTCACCCGTTGAAACATGAATCTGTGCTGACATTGGGTCATATATGTAGAAATGTGAAATACATTTTGAAGTTGGAGCTTTCTTGGCCGAGAAAAGGGAGAAAGTGTCTTTTTGGCTCATGTGGATGAAAGACACCAAATCCCAGAATGCACAGCCCCGCAGGCCACTCCCACTAAGGTCAGGTTTACAGACATATTTACTTCAACACATAAGGCCGTTTCCTCAACTGATTCCGAGATTTCTTCCCAGAAGGATTGGTATCTTGGAAATTCCTGGCAGAAAACCAAATGACGATTTTTGCGTCACTGGAAGCTCCTTTTCAGACTCAGACATACAAAGATTTTCCATCTCAGAGGGGAAAATGAGGGCGGGATGCACGACCATTCAAAAATACTACCAGGTTTCTAATGATACAAAGATTAATGCAAATAGGTGAAGTATCCCTTTAAGTCTTGTCTGCCCTTTAATTGATTTGACTCGATGTTATTAGGGACGTTTCACAGGTGAGTCTGATTTCTACTGTAAATTCACTCAAGCTTCACTTTGCTTTTTTTAATACTTTTTATTTGATAGTTTTGAAGAAAACATAAACTGTCAGAATGAGCATATATACATTTGTCTATGGTTTGTATAGAAGATCTACATGTAAGTGCGTCATCTATACAGGCATGGATAAATATTTCTGTTAGCTCATTCTACGACAGAAAAGAAGAGTGAGCAAAAAGGAAGAAACAAATAAAAGAATATAATAGAAAGAGAGCAAAAGAACAACAGAGCATATTAACTTATCAAAAAGAATTAATAAAAAAATAAAAACAAAATAAAAAAGTGGGCTTCACTTTGAATGCAGTTCTCACATTTCACCACTAGAGGTCAGTGTTACACCCTGACTTCTGAACACATGACAGATTACTGTTGTTTGATCTCAAGGATTTAAATGATCATACCCAGCATGTGACGGTGAATTAAAACAGCAGAGACTCTGTAATACTGAAGCACTTTGAATTGCCTTCTTGTTGAAATGTGCTATTTAAATAAACTTGCCTTGCCTTACTGCGTCTGTCCCTGAAGTATTCTTCAACAACACTAATGCATTATTTAACATCCCTGTTTAAAGTCCATACATCAACAAAGAGCATCATAGAACTATTGATCATGATGCCACTGAAGGTTTATTTAGTCAAAGTAGTGTTTTCATGTTGGAAAGCTTTTATGGATGATCAGATTATTGACTTTGAAATATGAGCTGCACAGTTAATATGAACACTAACCATGACAGTGATGTTGTGTGTAGCTTTGTGAACGAAGCTGCTTCATGTCTGTTTGTTCTTCTGACAGCAGGGGACATCAGTCAGAAGACCACATGGCATCGTGTGTCCGTGTTCAAACCTGGTTTGAGGGACGTGGCGTACCAGTACGTCAAGAAAGGGTATGACCTCCACTTTTTTTATTTTACTTTTGCATTTATACCAAAGTCATTTATCTTGTTTTTTTTTGATACTATGCTGAGAGCAGACTGTTAACACATAAAGAAACAGCAGGTTGCAACAGCTGCAATACGGTATGCAACAATAACACGTGTGCTACCACTTCCATGTAAGAGAGAGAGAAGACAAGAAGTCACAGGAGGAAAGAAGAAAACTCAACTGGACATGATGTTTTGCCTTCTTACTGTCAGAGTCACAGTTTTACATTTTCTATCCTGGTAAGCGATTAGTTAGTTGACATCAGACTTAAAGTGTCATCACATCGCTGTAAAGTCGACTCTGTGCCCCCCCTCCTCCAGATAAAAATCACATCAAGGCTTCAGGTCCCTTTTTTTTTTGTTGCCCAGCCTTCAGATCGAATGTAAAACTCCCAAAAGCTGTTTAATCTGCCTGAGCCAACAAAAGACTGAAAACGTTTGTAATCTTTTTGAGACTCATGTGACTGATCCTGAGTCTGTGTCTCTCTTTCTCTGCTTCAGGTCGAGGATTCTAGTCGAGGGGAAACTGGACTATGGAGAGTACGTGGACAAGAACCAGGTCAGACGACAGGCCACCACCATCATCGCAGGTCAGAAACCATAAAACATGTGTGCCTCTTTATTATAAATATTAAGGCTGTTTTGGGTAAATCATTTGTTCCCTCCGCTCTCCAGACAACATCGTCTTCCTGAGCGACAACGTTCGAGACAAAATGTGAGGGGCTTTGCCTCTTAGTCAACATCTTTTTGTATCTTCTTGTTTATACAAAAACCTGAACGCCACCAAAGAAAAGAACTGACTCCCCCTAGAGGAAGGGGAGAGAGTATCCTGTGTCACCCTGAGGAGACTCCTGCAGACTCTGAGGCATCAGGAGAAGCAAAAAAGAGCCCAGTGTATCTCCACTTATGTATTTGATCATGTATATAACCCATAAAAACATAAAGTTTATACCTTTTTTTTTTTTTTTTGTTTGTACTCAAGTTTTATGTGTGAAAATAATGTTAAAAGCGAGAGGTGAAAAGCAGTGTAAGATGTTTCACTGGAGTTGTAGCTCCGTTGAGATGATGAAAGCTCCTGTTGTCCGGGATGAGGATCATTAACATTTTTTTGTTTTTACAGGTTTTCTTCATATTTGTCAATAAATAATCTTCTCTTTATCTCATTACATCAGGAAATGTTTCTTTGCAAAAGGCCTGCGGTTTACAGCTCTCATACTGCAAACTGGTTGTCAGCTTTGACCTGACAACAGTTTCTGAATGCTTTGAAGTTTGTAGCTTACTCCAGTCTGAATGTTATGACTTTTTCTGTGTTTTGTTGAGCTTAATTTTCTAGCTGTGAGGCAGAATCAAGTAAAAAGCACTTCATTGTTTTACATCTTTTTCATCCAATAAAATCCTTCATCTCCAATTTTAGTTTTGATTTATTTTAAGTGTAGAAAAAAACATTTGCACATCCATTTTATAAGACAGGTGTGTAGAAGAGCTTTGTGTCCATCACAAACTTAAAGGTAAAACTCACTCACACTGTCTATAACCTGCAGACAAACATTTATTGGCAACGTTTTGGTACTAGACCTTCACCAAGCAAATGTGTAGTACCAAAACATTGCCAATAAATGTTTGTCTGCAGGTTACATTGTGTGGGAGTTTCACCTTGAAGATTTATTCTGAGTTAACAGAGCTGTTGAAGATGTATCCTACTTTTCAAGGTAAATTATCTGTTAAAAACATTTACAATTTAAAACAAATTGGCTAGAAATCAAACTCCTAAACTCTGCAAGAGAGGGAAGAACTCTAATCTTCAGAGTTTGCTGGAGGGCACTCAATGACATTGGGACATCAAAATATGAAAATAGCTGCACATGAATGTGCAACAACGGCTCCAGTATGCTGATTCACTGTGGTTAACCCAATACCAAAGTGTTGCTTCAACTTAAAGGAAGTTTGAATTGAAGCGCTGCAATCTCAAGAGAAAAAGACAGACGACTTCTGTTTTTCTTAAGAAATGAGTTCAGCTTGATAACATCATTTTGCCCTGTGTTGTAGTTTCTTGTTTGCATCTCATGTCTTTTTTTTTTTTAGGTTTTTTTCTTGCATCAACACTTTGTTTAGTTCCTTGTCACTTTCTTGTCGGTTGTTATCGCTGCAATCTGTTTCTCATTTCCTCTCTGGGTAGTGACTCGTTAACTTTCAGCTCACTTCTGCAGGTTCTTTGTTTTCTAAGAGCTCCTATAATACATTATAATCCTCACCATTTGTTTAACTCTTGTTTGTGTTCATATTAAAGCATGTAGGATTTAACCTCCCTTGTGTTGCACAGATGAACACACTAATAATAAACAATATAAATTATCAAAGAAAAGTGCAAATAATCCATTAGAAGCAATCTAAGAAAAGTCAAAATAATCCTAAAAGTGTAAAAAGAAATTACTGAGAGATATGTATATAATACGTTATTTAAAAATGTATTTTAGGAAGATATACTTCAAATATTGTCTCTTGTTTTTATTTTTTGAACTCATTTTTAGTCAGCGGGCGTTGATTGGCTGACTGTGATACCAGGGCGGGCTTAAGTCAAAAGTATTCTTGGCCAAAATTAATTGGTTACAGGATCTCTCAAAGTCTTTTCTGATTGGTTTGGTCAGCTATCCATTTAAAAGTTTGGGCGGTTCGAATTGTATTTTAAGAAAGACGTGATCTGATTGGTCAATCTGTTGGGTTTGAGGCGGGGCTTAAGTTGTTTGGGAAACCTGTGGATTCAGCGACGGGAAGCTTCGTAAAGGTAACGGAGGTTAGCTCAGGTAAAGACCGGGAGTAGCTGAATTTGATGAAAATTAAAAGCATTAAAGTAATAAAACGGTTAAAAAACGTAAAATATACGAGGTTACATTTATAAGGTTAAAGAAAAGGACGAAGTTGATAGCTAACTGTGATTAACTACTTTGGCTAAAGAAGTATTTTTAAACACTTCTTCGAAATAAAGTATACTTATTTTTTTTGAGTTGGCATGAGATGCTGTACACGGATACTTTACTCAAATTCCACTCAGGAATATTATTATTTTTAATTCACGTTACTAATATATTGCCAATTAGTAGTTTATTTTGCATAGAATTCAAAGGAATGACCTGAAATGAGAGGCGAGCGTTTTATTTTGAAAGTGAAAACCGGAACAACAAAATAATCGCTGTAGGAGTCGTAAACAGTTGGAAGAGTTAATTAAAATGTTTTTTTTAATTCTAAATTTAATATTTGCTGTTTTAAAGCGGATAATTTCCAACAGGCATCGTAACTTCTGTAATTTTAATTTAATTAAAAAAAAAATTACTCTTTATTTTTCTCTTGGTTTCAGTGACTCCGCCTCTGCATTCCTGTATGTCTGGGCCGTGAGGAGGAGCAGCAGGAGGAGGAAAGAAAAAGGGAAGAGAGGCTGCTAGGAGCTGCCTGTAGACCCCCTGAACTAGAGAGGAGATGATAAACAACAAGAACAAAAACAAAAATAACAACAACGTAGACGAGACTCAGCTTCAGTCCGACTGCTGCAGCTTCTTCACATAACAAACATTTATCCTCCGAGTCTGTGCGCTACCATCTGGACGTGTCTTTTTTCTTTTTTTTTTGAAGTTGTTGGAAACTTTTTTTCCTGCTTCTGCAGTCTTCAACTGAACGCCTCACTGCTGTTGGAGAATATATTAAAAAAAAAAACAGCGACGAAACATCCGAAGAAGAAGACATTATGGAACCCTGGACAGTAGTGAACCGTTTCTACACTGGGACAGGAACCTGAGTGAGCTGTCTGAGGCCGGGGAGATCGACTGTGTGCTCTACACCAATGTGAGTAATAGGCAGAGGTGTGAGTTATCGATCAGAGGTAGGAATAGTGTGTGTGTGATCGATCAGAGCATGCTGATTGGCTGTGCAGCTCATCAGAGGGGAATAATCACCTTTATCTCACTTTTTGAGGGGTTTATTTGACACTAGGGAGGAGGGTGTATGTGCATCTCTGTGTGTGTGTGTGTGTGTGTGTGTGGTACCCAGCTCTCCATTCACAATTTGACTCTTGGGGTCCAGGATGCAAGTTTGTCAGCTTCTTTTTTTCACACTCTCACTTTCTTTGTGGCAAACACTAGGTCGACTAAATAAGAGACATTTGAACACAAAGTAGTTCAAGTGAAATAAGTTCAAGAGGGAATTATGAGAGGGACAACCAGTTTGCAGAGAAAGCCATCTACAGGCATCCATCTTTTTCAAGTCTATTGTCACGGGCTGCAACATTTTAATGTTTTTCCCTGTTGAATTCATGGACAGACAGTAAAAAAACAAAAGCGGAGTCCAAGATCACATCATCAGATTTTTACCCGACAATCTAAAACACAACTTATGTGGAAAAAATAGCAAGCAAACTAAAGATACTGACATGCAAAGAGCCATTTTTTTCTTCATGATTATACTAACAAAGAAAAAATAAGAAGAGATGTGATTAATAGGTCTGAGTTCATCACTGAAAACCTGAGATGGGATTACAGCCTATTGTCTTCTGCTGAATTCATTCGCACAACCATTAAGACTTCATTTATAGTTTAGGAAACACCGTAACAACCTACCAGAGTCCAGTGTGGTGTATTAATTGATTGTTTTGTTCAAATGACAGTCCAAAATCCCATTTATATTGCATAGTAGTTCTGTGTGAGCATATAAGAAAATACTTTTTAAGCGTCTTCATGTTGCTGTAATGTAAATATTCAACATTTCTGATGAAGATCGGGTCATAGCAGAGAAGCTTTGGAGCTCACACATTCAAAAGTGACATCCTCCTTTCCCCAAGCAGATGTTGAAAGCCTTTATAGCAACCAGCTTCTAATAAAGCTGCCAGTGTACAACACACACTTCCCCTTTATAGTTTATATTAAACATTGAATATCAGCCTCTAGTAGAATATATAATTACATCCAGATATAAACAATTCGACATACTCTGTTTACTTCAAGTTGTTTATGTGCTATCCTATAAAACTCTGATGCAACTTGTGAATAAATAAATCAACACATGCAGCGACGGGACGCATCAGAATCATTCAGTGCATCATTTAAACACGATGTATCTGCAAAGAAGTGGCTGGAAACGTCTTCTTCTTTTTTTTTACACCAGCAGCTCAGATACTCAAACCTTTGCGTTACACTCACACTTGGTGTTTGTTGTTCAGTCTCTCTGGTAACAAAAGTTATTAAAAAAAGTTCACACACACAGAAACTCAAACAGCTTCTCCTCGATAAAATGGACCTTTAAAGAAATGGCCCTCTGCCTTCAGTTATGTAACTTGAAGTATTCCAGCCATATGTGTCTCTGTGGGGAGAGGAGACGGAGTGTGTGGGTTTATGTGTGTGTGTGTGTGTAAGTAAGTGAGTGAGTCTGCAGTGTGTGCACGTGTGTGTGTGTTTGTGTGTGCAGAAGACGGGGGGGGGGGGGGGGGGGGAGCGTTTTGGGTTTACGGGGAGGAATCCAGCTGGCTCACAGGACGGGAATCAGACACCACAGAGGCCTACTGAGCCTGAGACAGCACACACACACACACACACACACACACACACACACACACACACACACACACACAGTGGTACCTACACCCACAGACAGGTAAAGACTTGTGTTGTCGAAGCGTTCCAGCTGTGAATGAAGGTCCTCTCTCTAAACGAGTCCCGAGGCGATAATTCCTGTCAGATTCCAGCAGACAGAATCCGGCAGAGATCTGCTGATTTTGTCAGGGAAAGAATTCAGGATGTCCCCGCTCATCATCAACATTGTTTTAAGTCATAATAACAAATATGGAAAAGTCATGCACAGGGCTGCTGAGGTGTGTTCGCTAAATGTAAAAAAAAAATGGCCAAAAACACAAACGGATAAAAGCAAAGTGACTGTGATAAAGTAAAAAAAGAGTTACCTGCAACTACCGTTTATCACCAGAGGTGTCAGTAAAGAGGCCGAAAGTGAGTTCTTCTAATGGCTTCTTTTAATCCTACTAATATGCAGCGGGTGTTTAGCTCAACAATAAGACACAAAGCAAACAGTGAATTCCTCTGCATACATTCTGCTTTTATTTATAGCTCCACAGCTGAGGTGTGTGCGGTGTGTGTGTTCATGTTATGTTTGTGTGTTTCTGTCGTTCATGTGTCGAACAACACGTGCAAAGTGTGACAGTCTTCATACCCTGAACTTTAATTCTTTAAAAAAAAAAAAGCTGAGTTGTGTTCAGAAGGACTAAGATGCTCTTGTAAGTGAGGTGAAGTTTCTATATTTAGTAAAGCATGAATAGTGTGTGTTTAAGTGTGTTTAAGTGTGTTTAAGTGTGTTTAAGTGTGTGTAGGTGTGTGTAGGTGTGTGTGTGGGTGGGGGAAGCATGAATGTGAGGAC